CCACCCACCCGTTGGAATGGCGTGGCGTGGCGTGACGTTTCCCCCTATTTGTTGTTTCCCGTGTCCTGTTGTGCCCTGTTGTACCCCGTTTGATGTTTATGAGTCTCGTATGATGTTTTGAGTACCGTTATAGGAATTTGTGTGTAGTGTGTGTCGTTTGTTAATGTGCCTTGATTGTTATTGTTGATTACATGATTGATTGATTGGATGATGATGGTATCGTGGTCATTGCATAATGATCAGTGTGACTGATGATGGTGAGAATGTGATTGGTGGAAATGAATTGTTGATAGAAAGCACAACGAGTGCTCGGTTATCGTGCTAAAGGCATGGACCACCCCTTAGACTTGCTGGCTAAAGGCTTGGGTCAGGGTATAAGCGCCGCGGTGTCATGTTAGAGCTATATGCGCTGACCCCTTGGTATTGGTGTTAGAGGCACGGACCATGCAAATGACACTTCGGTGCTACCATGTTGGTGGACTTGTTGGTGGTTGCGGAGTGGGGCATGTAGTTGCTTCGGAGGAATAAGGGAGGCGGTATAAGGGTGGCCTGGAGGTACAGGTCGGAACTGATATAAAGATGGAGAGGAGTAAGGTTGGAACTCGGTATAAGGTTGAAAGATGGATTGTGTGCTTTGATGATTACTTGCTAATTGATTGTCTTTGAATCCCATTGTTGCCTCTATTTGTTATTTATGAGCTTACTTGTCTATTATGCCTTGTCTTGCGTTCTTAGGATGCATGCTAGTCTTTATGATCGTTCTATAGTGTCAAGTCTGTTGTTGTGTCTTGAGTCTTGATCTTGGTTTAAAAGCTAGAGTTGCTTAGGCTATATATGTATTCCAGTTCCAAAATGATTTCCTATATTTATATTTATTGTACTTAACGCGTGGGAGTGGGTTACTCAGCATTATTCGCTGACGGTTGCTATGATATGTTTTTCAGGTGATGATCATTAGCTGAGGAGCGCGCTAGAGGGACTCGTAGTCTTAGTCTAGTTATCCCTAGTTGCAGTAGTTGGCCTGCGTGCCGTGGACTGTAATTGTTTATCGATTTATGGATTACACAGCCTGGATAGTCTTAGCCTCTGCATCTAGGTTCTCAAACCTAGGTGTGGCATAACACCCCGACAATTATGTTTAGTTTATGCTCGGATAATTATTATTAGTCTGCCTTTATTTTATAAGTTCTCAAATGCTTTAAAAATTAGGGGTGTTACAGCAACATTTTTCCCGGACAAAACATACTCGAAAGCTTACAACAACTACATGACCTACAACCTGTCAGAAGAGTATGCCGAATTGGCCAAATCCAATGACGTTCGAACCTTCAGAAAGTTGATCAACAATGACATAGATATCAAGGGTATGCTCAAGGATCAGAAGGCTCGGGATGAAAAAGACCGAAATGAAGCAGCTTTGCAGAAGCAAAAACTTTTGAACATGTAATTGTGTTACTTCCTTTTGTAACCGATTGACTGCCATAAATAAAATTTGTCTTTTTGCAGATTGTGTTATATATTATTTGTATTCCTTTACATAGAATTCTCTTGTAAGCTCTAACTATGTGTCTGTTTTGTAATAAAAATCCTTATCCTTCGGCCTAATAGCAAGAGTATAGGTTTTGGCATCATCAAAAAGGGGGAAATTGTTAGGAACAAATGTACTTGGATTTTGATAATACCAATCTTGCAAGGATTGTAGACTCCTCTTTTTATTATAACTTTCGTGTTAGACGAAAGCTGTCGTAACTCACCATGTGATTCGGGCTGTGTAATACACCTACACGAATTTGAGTTGCATTTAGGGTGTTAAGTCTACTTGAAGAAGTGAAAACCAAGAGAAGAACGAGAGAACAATTTAGACCGAAAGTTGGAAGGGTCTAACTCTCGTATAATCATCAAATGATAAGGAAGATCATTTCACTAAAAGGGAAAACGAAAGATGAGGACAATCTTTCGTGTGACTTTCCCGAGACCATAAGTCTAAGTCAGACTTAAAAAGACAACTCTTATAAAAGAGACAAGAAGAATGTTGTCTAAGTCTCAATGCTGGGCAATCATCTTAGACAAAAGGAGTCCTAGGAATGATATTCAACAACATCAAGGAGCATTAAATGATTAATACTTTTTGTCAGCAAGAAAGGACAAAAAGCCATACTGCTTTTTGACACCAACTGCTACATAGTACAGCCGCTTTAAATGCTCCATGCCCAGTGGATAATACACGCTGGTTAATAGGTTTGAAATTTCATCTCCCTCCAACAGATGAATTCTTCCCTCCTATAAATACCTCTCTTCACCACTGAAGAATGTGTTGGTTGTTTAACTGATTTTATCTTAGAAAAAGCTTTTCAAACAAGTTAATCTAAAAAGCTTTTCAAAACCAGTGTGTGGCTGTGAAGTTTTCAAAGAAGCTCATCCATATCTCATTCTTCACAACCCTGAAGAAGTCTTGCTGTTTATTACGTGAAGATTCATCCATTCATCAAGTCAAGACTTCAAGCCGTTGGAGAAACACGTCATTTCCATCCAACACTCAACTCTGAAGAAGAAGTTGATAGAGGCGAAGTAAACTCAAGGAGTTGAAAAAACTTCCAAGTAGCTGTCCGGCTTAGTGATTAAGGAAGCTAACTTGAGTAGTTTGTACTAGGGGTGATAGTGCAAACCATTTCACAAGTTGTGAAAGAAGAGTGGAGTAGGCTTTGTTAATAGCCGAACCACTATAAAAATCCCTCTCTCTATCCCTCTTTACTTTCGTATAACTCTCTATCTGGCATTGCATGCATATTGACGAGACCATAAGCTTTCATAACAAAACCGCAAAGTTCATCTTAAAACGAATATACAATTTCCAATGTGCATAACCCTGAAAAGAGTTAATCTGAAAAATCGATTAGAGTCTATTCACCCCCCCCCCCACCTCACCTCTAGACTCTCTTTCGACCCTACCGGGACCAACACGAACCAAACGAGCCCTAATAATGCACACATGCGAATGTAATACATAGTATAATATATCTAGATGCACTGTTAATTAATTATATGTGGATTTACTATATATATTAAGTGTTTTCAAAAAAATATTTTTATTTGCACTTATAATTCTTAGTAAGTTTGGTATCATCAAAATCTAAGTACACTTGTTCCTAATAGTGGGTTTGCACCATTATATATACAAGAGCCTTTTTGAGTCATATTAAATTGTATAGCATTGAAACTTTTTCTTGCAAAATATTTTATTCAACATAATTGATGTTTGCATTTTTGTTAGGAAGAAGATGACTTATCATCTTGATCTCTTGTTACATTAGGAAGTCAAAGTGAAAGAATAGAGATTGAGAATTTATACTTTTTACTCTTTTATATAATAAAAAATACATGCGAATGCAAAATTATATATCTAGATGCACGGTTAATTATATGTGAATTTACTATATATTAAGTGTTTTTAGTAAAACATTGTCATTTTAACTTATAATTCTTATAAAATATTTAGAGTATGAAAATAATTATTTTTGTAACTAATCAAAAGTTAATTTTACAATCCATTTATATTTGTGTTATAATTTATGAATTAAAAATGTAATTTTAATTTCTCACATATAAATACGGAGTAATAAATAAAAATTGTTCCTAAATAATTTGAACGTTGCAATTAAGTTGAATGCTGATATCTTTTCAACAATGTTGAGTAATAATTAAGTAGTGGTTAAGTAGTGGTCCTAGTGGACAGAAATAATTAAGACCAACAGTAGCAGTCCTTTTTGTTTTCTAAGTAGTGGTCCTAGTTGATAGTTGTCTTTTATGAATTACAGTGGTTATATCGCAAACCGCGGTGCATAATCGATTATGCACCGCGCATCAAAACGGCGCTATTTCTTTATGTAAAAAAACGACGTGCTGTTAGTGTTAACGGAGTGACACTACAGTGTATCTAAACAGACACTGCTTCACGTATTATTTTTATATTATCAAATGAAACTGCAATTATATCAAAATGATACTATAGTTGTAGTGAAATGAAACTGCAGTATATATAAAATGAAACTGAATAACATTTCACATATTTGAATGTATATTGTACAATGAAGCTGTAATTATATCAAAATGATCATGTAGTTGTATTTTAATAAAACTATAGGTAATTATATCAAAATGATCATGTAGTTGTATTTTAATAAAACTATAGTGTATATAAAATAAAATTAAATAACATTTTCACGTATTTGAGTGTATAAATATCGAATGAAACTGTAGTTATATCGAAATGAAACTATAATTGTGTTGAACTGAAACTGCAGTGTATACAAAATGAAACTGAATAACAGAGTTATTTTTTGCGGAAGGGTGCGGAACGACGGAAAACGGATACCGTTTCTTTTCATTAAACAAAACGACGTCGTTTTAAAGCGCGGTGCATAATCGATTATGCATCGCGGTGCACGATATAATTTGCCTATCAATTATTGCTTCAACTTTTAAGGTGGAGTGGCGCCCACCCATGTGATCCAATTCCATGAAATTTAATTTGGGAGTTGACTGAGACGACTTTTAAGCAATTCAAGTAACGCCTACCGATACGTATTCTTAACTCCGATCCGATTACTTAGTTTGTGATTCTTCATTCTACCTAATTACTTTCCTCTATGTTTCTGAGGAACCCAATTTCCGGCCATATCAAAGAAATCCATGCCTTGATGACTTCTACATCTTCTACTCCTTTCCAATCACTCCCCAAAAAAGAGTATGATGTTTTCTTAAGTTTTAGAGGCACAGATACTAGAAAGAATTTCGTTGATCACCTTTACAAAGAACTACAACAGAAAGGAATTCGCACTTTCAAAGACGACGAGGGATTGGAAAAAGGACATCGTATTGAGAAGTTGCACCAAATTATTAGAGAATCACAATTTGCAGTTGTTGTGTTCTCCCAAGACTATGCATCAGCAAAATGGTGTTTGGAAGAAATTGCAACAATCATGGAATGCCAACAAAAGTACGGCGAGGAAATTGTGATACCCATTTTCTATGATGTGGAGCCTTCAGTTGTGCGCAATCAAACAGAAAGTTTTGCTGAATCATTTAAGAGACATGAAGAAAAGAATACAGAGAAGGCGAAAGTGGAAAGGTGGAAGGAAGCGTTGAAAAAGGCTGGCAAAAGCTCAGGGTATCATCTGCAGAATGACTTTAATGGGTATACATTCTAATTATTCCTTTGCACATTAATTTTAATAGATGTTGTTTGCTTTTTTTTTTTTTTTACTACTCTCCCCTTCCCATTTTATGTGTCTGATTCGGTTAACAAGGTTTTGAAGTTATTTTTAATCTAATTTTTTATAATATTAAGTTTAGTATTAGTTTATAAAATTTATATATTTAGAAACTATACTAAAAATAATATTAAACAAAAATAATTAAAGAAAATAAACTAAGACAAAAATAGTTTGGTTTGACTAATAAATAGTAAGTAGGACAGATTAAATGAGACAAATCACAGATGGCATATTAAAATTTTATTTTTTTATTGAGTTAATACTCAAAATCGTCCTCGACTATAGTGGTTTTTCTCAATTTCGTCCTAAACGACTTTGGTGACCTAATATCGTCCCAGACTTCAATATTTAATGCGAGTACTGTTATTATGTAGTTTTTAAGAAAGAAAGAACAAGTAGTAAAAATAATATTTTGTCCATTCCTATTACAATTTACAGACTCTAAGGTCATATCATTACCAAAAATAGTTTAAAAAGTAATATTTATAAATTTCAACGAAAATCAAAACTAATTTAAAACATAATTAAAGATATATTTCAATTACTTTGATAAGAAACTAAGAAAGTTAAAACATTATAAATGTTGAGAAGATCAAAATATTATTTATTTATATATTCAATAATCATAATATAATACGGAATAATATATTATTTTATTATAATAAATTAATTATAATGTATATATTCATATATTACTCAAAGATTACACTAGTTTAATATTGAAAAAGAAAAACTTAAAAGGCTCGTGAATAATACTTTAAAGTATGTATAGACTGCCATGTTCTAGACAAGATCAAACTTTATTAAAGGCAATAATTGAGAAATTAAAAATGCATTTTGCCTAATTCCTTAAGAATTGAAAACACCTACAACTTCTTTGATGAAGCATGGAAATTTTACATTGAAGTTTCATGGCTTTGTGTATATAATGGGATCTGTCCCATAATAATCTAAGTAGCATTGCTTGAATTCTATTAAGTCTGAGTATATATTCAATTGCATGCTTAAATTATATTTGTGTTCAATATTGTCAGGTTCGAAGCAGAATGTGTCGAAACAGTTACTAACGACATATTTACTCGAGTGAATCGATCCATTCAAGCCTCCTCAACTGTCCTTGACAATTTCGTGGGATTGGAAACTAGAGTTGGCTATATAGGTAAGTTGTTGATAGAGGAACCTGATGATGTTAAATTCATTGGGATTTGGGGTATGGGAGGTATTGGCAAGACAACAATTGCAATGTTTGTTTTTAACAAATATTTGAGCCAATTTAATGGAGCTTGCTTTCTTAAAGATGTTAAACAACATGAGATCACTGAATTGCAAGAGACCCTTTTAAAAACCATTCTAAAGGGGGAGATGGAAATAAGCAATGAGGTTGATGGAATGGTGAAGATAAGAGAATGGCTTGGAAGGAAAAAGGTTTTGATTGTTCTTGATGACGTAGATGATCACGTGGAACAATTACAGAAATTAGTTGGATGTCGAGATTGGTTTGGTAGGGGTAGTAGAGTGATTATAACCACAAGAGATGCTGGAGTATTGCGTTCCCATGGAGTTAATAAAAAGTATGTATATGAAGTACATACACTGGAACACCAGAAAGCTATTCAACTCTTTAGTTGTTATGCCTTTAGAAGTGAAATTCCTGCTAGTGGTTTCCAACGACTCACGGGATTGATAGTGCATTATTGTAAGGGTCTTCCATTAGCTCTTAAAATTTTAGGGTCTTCTCTTTGTGGACTAGAGGCTGCTGACTGGGAAAACTTTAGAGCAACTCAAGGACAATCCACATGATGATATTCATGGGAAGCTTAAGATAAGTTTTGATAGATTAGATTCCAAAAGTCAAAAAATCTTTTTATATATTGCATGTTTTTTCAGACACGAGAAAGAAAAATATGTAAAAGATGTGCTTAAAAGTTGTGATTTGCATCCAGTCATTGGTATGCGTGTGCTCATTGAAAGATCTCTCATATCAGTTGTGGAAGGAAGAATTGAGATGCACGATCTAATCCAAGATATGGGTTGGCATATTGCAAGAGAGGAGAAACCTAAGAGCATGGTATGGGAGTTTGAGGATGCTGTATTATACAGAGAAATGGTAAGGCATATATATGTATATTTCAATAATAATTAGATGGATGTAGCTAGCTAGCTAGCAAAATTAACACTACTGGAAATTGTGGAATTTCCGACCACCTGAAAGTAATCTTAAATCAATTCGAAAGCAAAAAGTGATCGGAAATAGTAATGAAGGTTTTTCAGGATACCAAAAGTGGTCAGAACAGGCTTTCGATTTGATTTAAGATCACTTTCAAGTGGTCGGAAATTCCATAATTTCCAGCAGTGTAATTAGTAGTTAATTTTTCCTAGCTTCCTAGCTAGCGAACTTAGCTTGAAGGTTTATTTTATTTTATTTTATTCTTTCAGGAGCTTACTAAACACATAGAATGTATTTTATTCTCCTATTCTACATATGGATTTTGGCGGCACAATTATGAGAATATTAGCAGTGCCTTTGAAGCTTTGAAGATACTCATAGGTAAATGGCCGTTGGAGGATATTAATATTGACCTTGTTGTCAAGGATAATTATCAGCTTCCTAGCAGCTTGAGGTGGCTTCATTTCCCATATTATCCTTTCCGTTCATTACCCACAAGTTTTCATCCCTCTACCATGGATACGAATCCATTGGAGCTTGTTGGGATTTGTCTGCACCATAGTTCTCTTCAAAATTGTTGGATAACTAAGGTACATACATATATGATTCTAACCTGCTCACTCACTACCGTCACTGTTGGAAATTATGGAATTTCCGACCATCTGAAAGTGATCTTAAATCAAGTCGAAAGCCTTGTTCCGACCACTTTTGGTATTCGGTAAAACCTTTGTTGCTATTTCCGACCACTTTTTACTTTTGACTTGATTTAAGATCACTTTCAGGTGGTCGGAAATTTCATAATTTCGAGTAGTAGCATGTGTTAAATTATTTTTCTTCATTAATTAATTAAATAGCTTAAACTAATTATTTTATTCCCCATCTTCTTCTACTCTTGCACGCATGCATGCAGGAATTAAATAAACTTACCTATTTAGATCTTAGCTCTTCCTGTTCTTTGCTAGAGACTCCAAATTTTGATATGATGCCAAATTTGAGATGCTTAGACCTTTCAAGTTGTAAAAAATTAGAAGAAATTCATCCTTCTATTGGACGTCTTGAGAAGCTTATTGTATTGGATGTAAGCGATTGCGACAAGCTAAAGAAGCTTCCCTGCTTTATTAAAGTTTCATCTCTTCAATTTCTTAAACTTGAGAAATGCAAATCATTAGAAAATTTTCCAGAAATCCAGGCAAATACGCCACTTGTACTGGAGCTGAATTTAGAATCCATTCGAAATATTAGAGAACTCCCCTCATCCATCGGACGACTACGTGGCCTCACCAAGTTATGCTTCTATGATTGTAGAAATCTTGTCTGTCTTTCTGATGATATATGTGAGTTGGAAAGCCTTAAAATTCTTGAGCTTACATGTTGTAGCCAACTAGAGTCATTGCCAGAAAAGCTGGGCAACTTGTCAAAATTGGAAGAGCTTCATGTATATAAGACTGCCATTTTTCAACTCCCATCTTCAATAAGGCAGTTGAGCTCACTTGAATGCTTGTGTTGGGTAGGCAACCGGGAGATTGATGAAGAGAGAGGTCTCAAATTTGTGCCTAGTGTATCAGGTTTGCGCTCACTAAAAAGGTTACAGCTCTCTGATTTTAAGACCATCGACGAAGGACTCCCTTCAGATCTTGGACAATGCTTGATTTCACTTGAATATTTGAATCTTCAGAGAAGCAATTTTGGTTATTTACCTAAAAGTTTGAGCCAACTCTCTAGTCTTCAATACCTTGACATTAGAGATTGTAAAGAACTTGAAAATTTTCCAGATCTCCCAAACACTATAAGTGAACTATATGTGAATTCCAAATTTGCCTTTGGAAACAAGTCAATCAACATAGATATGTTAGCAATCAAGTGCCCCATGTTATATTCGGTCTCATTCTTCTCTTGCGATGATGTGTTGGATTTGTCCAGAGGTGTAATCTTTTTAGCTAAAATGAGCAATCAATTTCCATTTCACAGAAAGACTCCTTTTAGTGTTAGCTACTCAAGCTATTCCTTCCAAAGCTATTCAATTTATCATTATAGTACTGTCTTGAGATCATTCAAATACCGATGCTACAAGTCAAAAAAGGATCTTCTTTAATCTTAATCTTCATTGGTATAGTACACAATTTGTGGGATTTGCTATATATTTTGTCACTTTTGAAGATTATATATGGGGACGACCAAGCTCGTACCAAGGCTTTGACGACTGTGCTTATCATTGTGTGATTAAAGCCAAACTATCATCACATGATGATATTAAAAATGAAGATCTCGAAACAAAATGTGTGATAGTCGGATCAACTTCTTACAAAGGTTATGACTACAAAAGACACATTTGCTTTGTCTACCTACCATTTAGTAGTTTGTGGCCTCAATCTAAACCTATAATGGAAGCAAATGATTATTCAAGATTCAAGGTGGAACTTGTGGATTTGAAAGCTTCAGCAAATTGGGGCGTTAATTTATTGTATAAAGGTAGGTGTATATATATATATATATATATATATATATATATATATATATATAGATTGATTTTAATTGTTCCTTTTTCTTCCCCTCATATATTTAACTTCCTTTTCAACTTTTTAGTGCTCTGTAGTTTCAACTTTTTACTAGATAAGTTTTAATTTTTTTTTTTCAGATTGCTTTTAGTTTTCTCCTTTATTTAGGCTAGGACTGGATTCATAACAAGCATAATTATAAAAATTTTACTTTTTAATTTGCTGATTGTGCTTTCAGCCCAATAGGAGCAAGAGAGGATATGGCTAATCACCATAGGAGTGATTCAGGTACTCATACATTACCCCTTTTATCTTAAAACATAATAAGTGTGAATGTAGGTTATACCCTTCATTTATGTCCGTTTTTTCCGTTAAGTTTATATATATATATATATATATATATATATATATATATATATATATATATATATATATATATATATATATATTATGCTATAAAAATTGTACTTTACAATATTTTGGACAAACATACCTCTACATGCACATGCATCCACCATATATTTTCTCATATTCTTCAATAATAATAATAATAATACACATTATACCCTTTCAAAAAAAAAATTAAAAAAATATACACATTATATATTGGAGTTATATGTTAGTTATTTTCTAAAATATAAATATCAAATTTATAAAAATGTATATTATTATTATTATTATTATTATTATTATTATTATTATTATTATTATTATTATTATTATTATTATTATTTACAATAATTTAAATATCTAAAATCTAAATAAATTTAAAACGGTAATATAAAGTACTAATATTGGGCACCTATTTTTTACACATCGCGCATAAAAAATACTAGTACTATTATATACGGAGTATTATTTTATTTTGTGTTATATTAAGAATATTCATACTCTTTAATATTTTATATTAACACCTATGGAGTATTTAACAAAGCTATAATCTATCTATACTATATATAGAAACAAAATCGTGAACGTTAATTTTAACTTCCCGCCCAATTCCTAAAAAATCTCTCTCTCTAATAAAATATATTGTTTCTACTTTCCTATTCGTACTATAATTCTAGGTTAAAATTCCTATTATAATATTATAAAATAGTGTAATACAATTTGTATTGTAATCTATATCTATAATCTCTAATCTATAATCTATAATCTATAATATCTATAATCTATAATCTATAATAATTCTATAATATTCTATAATCTATAATCTATAATATCTTTATCTTTATCTTTATCTTTATCTTTATTATATATAATAAAGCAAAATCTAGCTACAAAATTTTCCCTCTAAAGTGTGAATGCATTTTGATAGAAACAAGATTAGCAAGTATGAATGCATTAATTGTGTGGGTAGATGTATTTATACATATTTTTTTTTGAAGTTATTATGTGTATTTATATCTTATAAATTATATTTTATTATTATACCCCTATCTCTATCTCTATCTCTATCTCTATCTATATTAAAGCATAATGAAGTATGGAAAAAAGTTTATTGTGTTTAAATTTATTGGTAAAGTTTTATATTTAATATAATTTGTGTATATATTCATTTAAACCTCAATTATGATTAATTTGACTCCACATATATAAAGAGGGGAAATTGGATATAAAATAAATATAGTTCTTACATAAATAATCTTTTTCAAATGAATAAGTTTTTGGTGAAGATTTTCGACAAATATCGCATGTTATTTTATTTATAAGTTTTATTTAAATATGTTAGTTATATAATTAAAGAAGCTATTTCAAATTCAAATTTCTTGAAAAAAAAAATTCAAATTCAAATAATAATACAATTAACAATAAACTTTAAAATCAACATAATAGTAGCATAATTAAACTTTTAAAAATATTAAATATTACATTGTATAGTTATACTTACATTTTTAATCAAACTAATTCTGAGCTCAAGAACTCAAGTACGTCTTTCTGTTTCCACAACCATTACTTTCTTTGCTAATTTAGAAGATGTCAAAAATTTAATTGGTAAATTTGTTAAATTAATAATAGTTTGTGCATCACACGGGACAATTACTAGTATCTATAAAAACAAAATCTTGAACTTTAACTTCCGCCCAATTCCTAAAAAATCTATCTTTCTAGTAAAATATATTGTTTTCTACTTTCATATTCGTACTATAATTCTTGGTTAAAATTCCTATTCTAATATTATAAAATAGTGTAATATAATTCCTATTCTAATCTATACTATATATAAAAACAAAATCTAAAATTTAACTTCCCACCCAATTCTTTTAAAAATCCCTCTTTCTAATAAAACATATTGTTTTCTACTTTTCTATTCGTACTATAATTCTAGGTTAAAATTCATATTCTAATATTATAAAATAGTGTAATACAATTCCTATTATAATCTATACTATATATAAAAACAAAATCCTGAACTTTAACTTCCCGCCCAATTCCTATAATCTATATCTATACCATATATAAAAACAAAATCCTGAACTTTAACTTCCCGCCCAATTCCTAAAAAATCTCTCTTTCAAATAATATATATTGTTTTCTACTTTCTTATTCGTACTATAATTCTAGGTTAAAATTCATATTCTTATATTATAAAATACTGTAATACAATTCCTATTCTAATCTATACTATATATAAAAACAAAATTCTGAACTTTAATTTCACGCCCAATTCCTAAATAATCTCTCTTTCTAATTGATCAAATTATTTAATTATGGTAAACTAGAAAATAATTAATGATGGTAATAGAAATCCTAGAAGAATATAGAATACAAGAATATTTAATTAATTTTATATTATTATTGTTTGACTCATAGAATAGAATTAGGAATACAATTTCAATTCGCCCCGTAAATATCCACCCCAATCCACTCCGCATGGATCGGTGGTTTTTTTTTTTTTTTTTTTTTTTTTTTTTTTTTTGTGATAGTGGGTGGTGGATCGGGGGTGGGTCTTAAAAAAGTCAACCCGCGATGGGTCGGGTAGGATTCAGGTTCTATGTATAAAACCCGCCTAGAACCCCACCCGACCCACCATGTATATATAATAGAAAACTAAGTAGTACTAGTATATAGTTAATTATAAAAGTTTGAATAACATTGGGCAACTTTTTACTATTTTTATATCTAAATTACTAAATTTATTTTTAAAAATTAACAATTTAGTTATTATATTTAAATATTTATATTATTTTATATTTTAGTATAACTAATGAATTTTATTATTTTATTGTGTATAAGTAATTTAAATATTATCTTTTGAAAAAAATAATAAGATAGATGATAAGTGGTGGGTATCCGTAGTGGGTAGCTGCACCCAGTGGGGGTGGGGTGAGTTTTGAAAAAGTCCACACGATGCGGGTTGGGGGTGGGGATGGGTGGAGAAAATATAAGGTGAATTGGGTGATGGATGTAACATTCCCCGACCCACCCCGACCCATTGCCATCCCTAAATAGAATACAAGAATATTTAGGGACCTCCCAAATGCTCTGTCGGGTCGGGGTGTGGGGGTCCTTAGGGTTGGGATTCAGCCTTTGGAAGAAGAATATTTAATTATGGTTATATTATTATTGTGCCTCACGACCATTATATACTAACAGAACTTGAAAGGAAAATAATAATAATACGAGTGGTAATAATATTATCTAAAAGTAATCAAGTGATAATAATAATAATAATAATAATAATAATAATAATAATAATAATAATAATAATAATAATAATAATAATATTAATGTAAGAATTATAACATAGAATAAAACGTAATAATTAATAATAATAGTCTGGGACTAAATTTGAAATTGTCACGAAAGACGATAGAACCTCTGGTGAAATTAACTCTTAAATAATTATATATTGATTCAAATATTTTTAATATATTTCAACATCGCAGGTAAAAATACTAATTAAAAAGAAAAAAACAAAACGTTCTTATAATTAACGTAACAAATAGGTACTAATATTTTAGAAATTATTTTAATACATAAAAGAATAAATGCTACCCCTCAACCCCACTTTAATTTGTTTCATTTGATACATACACATGTTATTTAATGGTCAAATAACTCTATTTTGGGCAACCCCAACCAAGAGCAACCTATGAACAACCTTTTTTTGAATGCTACAACCTATGAACAACCTATGAACAACCTAGGTTGTTTTGCGTGGTCCTTTATTGATTAGTGTCATAATGCGGGATTTACCCGTTGTACACCCTTTGGTAATGGATGCATGTTTCTCTCGTTACCAAAAAAAAACAAAATTGTATTTATTTATTTATTTATTTTCATATTTTTAACAATTTATTTTTTGATTTTCAAATTTACAGTTTTGTATTTGACATAACTTTTAATATAGTTTATAAGTATATAAGTTTTATTACTGAAAAAATAAATTGTAAATATAATAACTTGAGGAGGGAAGGAGTATTACACTATATCACTATGCTATTATGTACATACATTTACATACACTACAAGCGCATAGATACTAAGATACATATATACACATATGCATGTCAGTGTGTGAATTTTCTTTTGGACTGCATGAGTAAACTATTTTATATATCTTATTTCAAGTACTTCTATCTTAACCTCGTTGATATCAGGACTACTCAGAACTAATGATATTGGATGTTTGACCTCGTTGGAGTCGGAGATAGAGTACTTGAATCACGGTAGCGAAAGTTTTGGCAGTTTACCTGCATGTTATAGCCAACTTCCTAGTTATCGATATCTTGACATCAGTGGTTGTAAAGAACTTAAAGAGCTACCAGAACTCCCAACTACTATAAGAGAACTATATGCAAATTTTAGTTTGGCTTCTGAAAGCAACATAACCAAGCTAGCAACCAAGTACCCAACATTATATTCTGTCTCATTCTCTTCTTCCAAAAGTTTGAATCCCCAGCTCCAAGGGCCCCTTACACCTGCATTCTCTCTGGGATATAAAGAGGTTTCTGCTGTGGAGTTAGCTAGGAAGTTTGCTCATGCGCCTTTTCTATTCATGAGAGACTCTTCTTTCATTGTTACCTATCCTGATGGATATATTTCAACCGACAGAGATGTCACGAAATGGTTCAAATATTCATCTCATCATTCAAATAAGATCTCCATTAGTCTTGAATCCTCCTGGTATAATCAAAGCTTTGTGGGATTTGTTGTGTGCTTTATTTTCAATTCATCTGATGGTATATGGAAATCATGCCCAGACGGTCGTCCTTTTAGATACGGTGAGGTCATAGCCCAGCTGGTACACAAAGATAATGAACAACTTCTCCAAACAAATTGTGTGATTGGCAGACTATGCGATGAAGAGTTTGATTCAGAATTCAAGTATAGTGAAATCATATGCTTTGCCTACATACCATTTCTTAGTCTGTTTAAAAATAAATTGAGCGCTACCCCGCCCAGTGATTATTTGGTATTTGAGGTGGCATTTGCATCAAATGCCTCAACAGATTGGAGTTGTGGTTTGTTATATAACAATGATGAATCATTAAGTGAAGCAATATGGAGCAAAACTATAGCTACTTCCCATGATAATGGTGATTCAGGTACGCACTCATCATAAATTCCCAATTACTTTACTACCCCTTCATACATTCATATTATCCATACTACATTAACATTTTATATGAATATGTACTTTTCCATTAAATAAAAGATAAAAAAATATACTTATTATAAATTACAATTACACGATCAAATTACTTTTTCTTCAATTCATAACTCGTTCACAATTTTATGCGAGGAAGACTTTACACACACACACGATAATGGTAAAATAGACTCTTCAATTATAGGCCAAAGTGCAATTCAACCCTTCAACTAAAAAAAACTTCAATTAGACACCTTAATTTCTCATGTGTATGCTATTAGGCTGGTTAATAGGTTCCCTTCAGGTAATAGGTAAAAGAATTTTTTTTAATTAAAAATTTTTAATTAAATTAAAAAAAAAAAACAATAAAAACATATTTTTTAACTCAAATAAATTAAATTATTTTTTAAAAAATGAACGGAGAAGCCGGCCATGGTCGCCTTCCTCGTTAAAGAATCTTCGGCTGGCAGCTGCGGTGGTGGGGTGAAGAAGATGAGTTTGATTTCTGCTTGTGGGGTGGGTCTTTGAAGGAATAGGAGATGTGTGTTACGGATGAAGTGTTTTTCCAGGGACAAATTTTACCCCCCTGGCATTCCATTAACTCCCACAGTGCCTTCGCCAAAATCCAAATCAGTAGTCATTGCAGTACTATGGACTCGAAATCACCAGTCGTCTAGCAGCACCGTCTCATCGATTACCACCCTGTACTGTAGAATTCGGACCAGTTTCAGTATTCTCAACTAAGCCTGACATCGCAGCTTTGTTTATCCAAGGTTTCACACAGCCATGCAACGAATAGTTATGCTTGGAATTCTACCCTCTGGAGCATTATAAGCAACGCATACATTAGACCCGACATAACCCAGAAGCTGAAGCAAAGATTTGCAAACAAAAAGCCTCGTCATTTTTACCACCTGCAAATGCTCTTTCAATTATGTCCAAACAGTCCCTTCAAGATCTACCATGAGCCAACACAAGAAGAAAAACAAGAACAAATCTTGTTATGATGATTATTGCGGAAGACCGGCAGTTACCTCCTTTGGGGAACCTAGTTTTCCATGGACTTTCCGTCTTCTACAACCGGAGAAACTTGTTGGCTTCTCGTAGACGGGGAGAAGCCAACAATCTTTGATATATATATATATATATATATATATATAGATTTACATTCAGGTAAAAACACATCTTAAAATACAAACCTAGGGACAATTTGACGTCGTTGGATGGTGGTATTGGACGGTCCTGATTTTTTCCACCTACGCGCTGTGTGCATGTAAGTATGTTAATGTGTGCACAAGCTTTGATAGATGCTTGTGATTTTTCCTCCTACGCGCTGTGTGCATGTAAGTATGTTAATGTGTGCACATGCTAATCCCAAGAATGGTTGGTAGTACGCTCTGTGTGCATGTAAGTATGTTAATGTGTGCACGAGCTTAAATTTGTATTTTAAGGATGGTTTGTATTTTAAGGGGGTTTGTATTTGAATGCAACCCTATATGTATATATATATATATATATATATATATATATATATATATATATATATATATATATATAAGTATGTTAATGTGTGCACGAGCTTAAATTTGTATTTTAAGGATGGTTTGTATTTTAAGGGGGTTTGTATTTGAATGCAACCCTATATGTATATATATATATATATATATATATATTGTTGAGTTTTTCTCAAAGGGATTAGGAATATGAGTTTGTCTCATATTACGAATACGAGTGAAACAGGTAGACCTATTGTACAGGGATTAGATGTCTATAAATATATTGGTTGCATCCCTAAGGGTTGTGTCACCATTATCACCATCACTATGAATATAAGAATTGTTTCACTCCTGTGGAGGTAGGCACATTACTGAACCACGTAAATCATTACTGAACCACGTAAATCTTGTCTTCTTTACCTTTCTGTCATTGTTATTGTTTCTTGTTCTTGTTAATCTCAACAAATTGGTATCAGAGCGCTTTTGAGATGGTCAGTTCAAGTACAAAATTCGAGGTATCAAAGTTTGATGGTATAGTGAATTTTTGGTTATGGCAGTCTAGGATAAAAGATTTGTTGGCACACCAGGACCTTTTGGAAATCTTGAAGATGGAATGCTAGCTAATCTGGAGGACGATGATTTGGGGGAGTTGAAGAAGCAAGAAGCTACGGATGTGGTACATGCTGATGATTCTTATTATAGTGAATGTGATGTTATAGTAGTTACTAGTAACAAGATCGAACATTGTTTGAACTTGTTGGATATTTCTAGATGCTAGATGAGAAAGTGGTGAGGGGCGCTGTGGTGTTGGACATCGCGGATACCAAGAGGGGTCGCGGACCTGGTATGGGCTGCGCTTGTCATGAGTCACGGCTGGTATGGCGTGGACGCTACAGGATGAAGCGGTTCGTGAACATGCACTGGGAACCTTTGATGGTGCATGGTGCGTGTTGCGTGTTGCTGGCCAGTACCGATTGTTGGTTAGTAGAGCATTGGGCAAGTCACACAAGATTAGTGTGACTTTGCAGGGGTGCTGTTGTGTTGGGGCAGCGTGGATACCAGGAGGGGACATGGACCTGGTATGGGCCGGATGCAAGAGGTCAGCTGAACGGGCAGTTAGCATGAGTCGTGGCTGGTATAACAAATCGACGGCTGAGGGCGAATGGCTTGGGACAAAGCGGTTCGTGTGCATGCACTGGGAAACGTTTGATGCTGCGTGGTGCATGTGGTTGGCTAGTTGGGATGAACATGGTTGTTCCTACCTGTATGTATATGTGAGATAAGTCTTTTCTCCTAAATGGCATATTTGTGAAGGTGGAGATGGTGAGATAAGTCTTTTCTCCTAAAAGGGCATATTTGTGAAGGTGGAGATGGTGAGATAAGTCTTTTCTCCAAAAGAAGATATTCGCCAAGGTGGAGATTTGTTGAATTATCTTTTAACCTAAAGAGCATATTCGCCAAGGTGGAGATTTTTGAGTTATCTTTTCTCCTAAAGAATATTTTGGCCAAGGTGGAGATTTGTTGAGTTATCTTTTCTCCTAAAGAGCATATTCGCCATGGTGGAGATTGTTGAGTTTGTCTCATATAGGGATTAGGAATATGAGTTTGTCTCATAACAGGAATATGAGTGAAACGGGTAAACCCATTGTACACATATTAGATGCCTATAAATATATTGGTTGTATCCCTAAGGGTTATGTCACCATTATCACCATCACTATGAATATAAGAATTGTTTCACTCCCGTGGATGTAGGCACATTGCTGAACCACGTAAATCTTGTCTTCTTTACCTTTCTGTCATTATTATTGTTTCTTGTTCTTATTAATATCAACATATATATATATATATATATATATATATATATATATATATATATATATATATATATATATATATATATATATATACCTTGCACTTACCTACAAATTGATTTAATTGAACAAATTTAAAAAGTTTTTTATTAAATTGCATAAAAATGAGAAGTTAAGGTGTCTAATTGAAGGTTTTTTTTTTTTTTTTTTTTTTTTTTTTTTTTTTTTTTTTTTTAAATTAAAGGATTGAATAACACTTTGGCCTATAGTTAAAGGGCCTATTTGACCCTTATCCCTATATTTAAAGTGCTCAATGAATGACCATTTAGATGTTTAAAGTTTTAACTTGATGTCATCATACACGTTTGTTGAACTATATGGGATTTGCTATGTATTGCCATCTTACTTCAAAGTCACCTCGAATTTTCTCAATTCACCTAAACTAATACCATACCCTTTTTGTACTCTTCCTTCTTTCTGCCATGCTCTTCTCTTTCCTTCTATACAACCCATCTTCATAAGTTTCTATAATTTCATCTACGAATTTTCCCCGTTTCTGAGTGTTTTGGAGTTGATAAATAAGTTTTTTTTTTTTTTTTTTAATATTGTTTGGTTGTTTTTGAAATGTTATGATATTGGAAATAATGCCAACATGTAGTGCAATGTGTTAAGGATATCTGTGGCTGACATCTTTTGTATATGTTTAGTTCTAGTTGCATTCTTATTATGTAGCAGTGTTAGATTTGTGCCCCATGTATTTCCTTATAACGATTTGCAAAAGTCATCTAACAACTTACCTTCTGATTCTCATGATTCATAATCACGTAATATTTTGTGCAAGCCGTCTCCTTTGTCTACACAGGTAGAGACGTGGGTATTCCAACTCCAGTTCCAACACTCGTTCCAACACCAGCTCTAACTCCAGTTCCGAGTCTAGTTCCAAGTCCAGTTCCAACTCCAGTTCCGACACCAGTTCCAACACCATCACCGCCAGCTGTGTCCAATTCATCATCTCCCACTGTCTCAGAAAATGGCCAGTGTCTGACTCACAGCATGTCTCCACCTCCGAAACATCTCAACCGTTGAATAATGTTCGTCGTTCCACCCGGGAGCGTTGTCCTAATCCTAGGTATTCCGATTATGTCATTAACCAAGCCACTTCCCATCCCTTGCCTCCTGCTTTAGAAACTTTTACCGTCGCCCAGGCTCTTAAAGACGCTCGGTGGAGGAAAGCAATGGATGAGGAGTTCGAAGCTCTACAACGTAACAACATGTGGCAACTAGTTCCCTGCGGAGCAGCTGTTCCAATTGGCTGCAAATAGGTCTTCCGTGTTAAGCGCAAATCGGATGGGTCGGTTGATCGTTTTAAAGCGAGACTTGTCGCTAAGAGATTCTTGCAGACTACTGACCAGGATTATTTCGAGACATATAGTCCGGTTATGAAACCGGTCACGGTCCGTGTCGTTCTGACCATTGCTTGAGTAACAGCTGGAGTTTGCGCTAGCTAGATATCAATAATGCGTTCCTTAATGGAACATCGCATGAGGAGGTGTTTATGGAGCAGCCTCCCGGGTTTGTTGATCCGTCCTTTCCAGCTCATGTCTGCAAACTGACCAAAGCCTTATATGGTCTTAAACAGGCTCCCAGGGCTTAGTACTTGGAACTTTCCCAGTTCTTATTGCGTTGTGGGTTTTTGAAGTCACAGGCAGATGAGTCTTTGTTTGTTTATTCTGCTAATGATATTATTGTTTATTTCCTGGTATATGTCGATGATATTATATTAACAGGAAAAAATGTTACATGACTTGATCAATTTGTTGAAACACTGTCAGCTCGCTTTGCCCTCAAGGACCTTGGTTCCTTGCATCACTTTCTAGGTGTTGATCGAGGTCGTTCCAACACCAATTGGAATGTTCCTGTCTCAGAGTCAATATATCACAGACATACTGGTTCGTTTTGAGATGGATGGTGCAAAGGTTTTTTCAACACTACTTGCAACAACAGACAAGTTGCTCCTGCGCAATCCAGTACTGCTACGGTGGATATAACTCAGTACCGACGTCTTCTTGGCTTGTTGCAGTACCTAGTCATCACTAGACCTGATGTGTCCTATGTAGTTAACCGGTTCTCACGGTTCATGCATATGCCTACGGAGGTACACTGGTAAGCTGCGAAACGGTTGTTACGTTACCTGAAGGATACGGTGTACCATGGGTTGTACCTCCGTACTGGGCAGCCTCTCTCACTGAGTGTGTATACGGATGCTGATTGGGGTGGCTGCACTTCCAGTGGGCGGTCCACTACTGCTTACGTGTTGTATCTTGGGACCAATCTCGTCTCTTGGAAATCCACTCGTCAAAAATCAGTTTCGCGCTCGTCTACAGAAGCCGAATATCGAGCCTTGGCGAATGCTGCTGCAGATGTTTTGTGGGTTAAGAATCTGTTGCATGAGCTTCGATTGCAGCTGTTGGAGCCTCCGGTTCTGCTATGTGACAACCTCAACGCTACGTATGTGTGTAAGAATCCGGTGTTTCATTCGTTTATGAAGCACCTCGCGCTTGACTATTTTTTGTTCGTGACCTGGTTTCTAATGTCGTCTCCGACGGATCCTCCATCTTGCGGGGGCGTGTTAAGGATATCTGTGGCTGACATCTTTTGTATATATTTAGTTCTAGTTGCATTTCTGTTATGTAGCAATGTTATGTAGCAATGTTACAACCTGCTATCTTCTCTCCCTTGTATGTTATTTAAAGCTGATTGTTTACATCAATAATATCAGTTAAGTTCATAATCTATTACAATGACATCTCTATTACTATTCCAAATAGGTGATTATAGGTTTAAACTACTGAAAATATTAGAGAAAATATAGAGCAGATATTATCTTATAAAAATCATGAGAATTTCAAAAAGAAAAAAATTTGCTTTTTTTGAAATAATATAATAATTTTTACTATACTTTGTATTATTTAAATTTTATGATGGGTGAGTGTGTGTGTATATATATATATGTGTGTGTGTGTGTGTATATGTGTGTGTGTGTTTTTATTTTGAATAGAGGGATTTTAGTTATTTAAATTGTATTCGTTATCTATTTCATGTCCAACTAACCAAACACAAGAATTTGATTCATCGTATAATTGTATGTTTACAATCAACCAGTAGAATAATATATTCCTATTTTAGCCCGCATAATCAACTAGTCATATGGGTGAAGTTTGGAAAGAATGACCAGAGAGAGCGGGCTCCTTGTGCGTTGTCGGGCCGGGGTGTGGGGGCCCTTGGGGTTGAAGATTCAATTTTTTGAAAAAAATATATTCCTATTTTATTTCGATCCTTTTTTTCCTTTTCATGTTAAAATTTTATTATTTTCTTTATTTTTATTATTATGCCACTTAAATGCTATTAATCCCACTTTATATAAGATTGGAAAATTCTGCAATGACAGGACATAGTGCTGAATCGCCTATTGATGCAAGTGATGATGAATCAGAACCTTCAAAAAATGGTGATTCTGGTACTTTATCTTTTACACTATCCTACAATGTATTATATAAATACATATCTAATAATGCAAATATATTCTTATAAATAAAAATTATGCATGGGATGTAGAAGGAGAAGAAGGTGAATCAATTGATGGTGATGAAGATGTTGAGGAGTATGAAAGTGATGCAGGACATAGTTCAGGTACTTCATTCTTTACAGGAGCGTTTTAATTATTACATATATTGTATTAATACTGAGATATACACTTTAATATATATATATATATATATATATATATATATATATATATATATATATATATATATATATATATATATATATATATATATATATATATATTTTGTTGACATAGTAAATTGGAAGGTGTACGTCTTCATCTCTATTAAAGTTTTAACTTTAAAATGAAATTATACATTTATTATTTTATATATTTTATGTCCAAAATAAATCAACTACCACAAAATGCAATCGTCTGATCTATTAACAAAAATTAATTTTGCACAATATTCAAATACAGGCGTTGAAATTATAGATTGATTATTTTACATTAGATAATTTCAACACAAATTTTTTGTTCTTTTATTTGAGTAATTAATGAATTGAATATTAAATTTTTATGATGTGTTAAACATTTGAATTTTTAACTTTTCTGTTGATAAAATTTTTGCTTATGTAGCATATATATATATATATATATATATATATATATATATATATATATATAAAATAAATGTTGATGAATTGTAAATTTTTAAATAATAATCCATATACCAAGCAAGATACAGATATCAAAGTCAACAAGCTAACTCTAATTATAGAAACTTGTGTTTGGGGTTGTCAAAACTGACCAATCCGTCATGGATTGGGGAAAAATAATCTGGATTGAGCCTGACCCATTTCAAATTCTGGTTGGGATTTTCGGTCAACCTGAATAAGTACAGGTTAGTGGGCTAAATGGGCGAGCCCGCCACCCTATTTTTATTATTAATTGATTAAATAATTACTCCGTATTTTATTTTAAAATATTTTTAATTATTCATATATTACAAGACTCAAACCTTAGACCTATTAGTTAAGAACTACAATATCTACTAATTAAACACAATGAACTTCATGGATAAATGTAATGTGTGCTTATATATAATATATGTTTAGATAATTAAATTTTAATTTATGTTTAAATAATTATTAGATTTTAATTGTAATATAATTATAATTTCGTTAATTTACAATTAACATTAATATAATTTATATGTAATGTTTTTATTTTATAATTATAATATTATTAAGTTATAAAGTTTATAAAATGTTTATTCATTTATATGGTTTAATAACTATATAAATGTATTAATTTTTATATAAAGTTACAATCAATTGGTAATTGACTTTTCGGCTTAATAAGATAGAAAATGGTGCATGTGATGACTGAAATAGTTCATTGACTATAGTAAAATTATAAATTTGGTCCCGAGTAAACGGATGTCTAATGGTTAAATAAACGAAGAACCAAAGTGATTAAGATTTTTAAAATTGAGAGGTACTTAATTAGGCAAAATAATAATCAAGGACCAAATTGATAATTTTAATATAGTCAATAGACTATTTCGGTAAGTAACTCTTAATCAATTACATACACACAAATGTTACATACACACAAATGGAATAACATATACCCATATTAATGATGAGTTTCCAATTATATGGCAGAGAAAAAGTGTTATAGATGTAACATTGTTAGGCAAATGATTTGGCCTCTATCTCATGATCATGCTAGTTTATTGAGTTCAACTTTTCACAATGAAACTTATTTCTTTTGATCTTTGAAGAACTCTCTTTGTTTGTTGTGGCTACAATGAGAACTGATAGAATTGTATTGAATAAAGTAAATACAAAGGTACAGGTTACATGTATATATACTGAGAGAATCTAAGGGAGACTAGGATAGGGAATTATAATATGACTTAAATACATTGAGTCCTAATGCTCTCCCTCAAGCACATGGTACAGTAGTGACCTGTAGCTTGTCCTTAAGAAAAGAAAATCTAGGACCAGTTAAAGCCTTTGTGAAGATGTCAGCAAGTTGATCTTTGGTTGAAATAAAATTAACTTGGATGTCTCATTTGGCTACTATGGTCTCTAAAAAAATGATAATCAATCTCCACATGTTTGGTACGAGCATGAAATATAAGATCCGCACACATGTAAGTAGCACCAAGATTATCACACCATAGTTTGGGAATCGAAATGCTGGACACGCTGATTTCACGCAATAGGGACAAGACCCAAATCACTTCAGCATAGACATCTGCTAGAGCTTTATATTTAGCTTCAGTAGAAGATCTAGCAATAATTCATTGCTTTTTGCATACCCAAGACACAAGATTGGATCCAAGAAACACAACATAGCCTCTAGTTGATTTACAGTCCTCAGGGCAGCTAGCCCAATCAGAATTAGAATCAGAAAAGGCATGCAACTCCTAGATATTGACTTCCTTATACGTAAACCATAATTTGTAGTTCCCTTGACATACCTCATTACCCGTTTCAACTACTCCCAATGAGATACTGTAGGAGCATGCATATGTTGACAGAGTTGATTGACTACAAAGAATAGATTTGGTCGCGTGACAGTGAGATATTGTAAAGCTCCAGCTAAACTCCTATACTGTGTAGCATCATCATATAGGTCCACATTGAAAATAGAGGATTTCGAAACAGATATGGGAGTAGCTAAGGGTTGACAGTATGTCATACCAGCATGCTTCAAAATATATGTTATGTATCTCTGCTAGGAAAGTAAAATTCCATCACCACATTTAACATTTTCAATTCCAAGAAAAAAAACAGGCTCACCAAGATCCCAAATCTTGAAAGTTGTTGATAATTTTATTAATAGTTATCTACTAAATTCTGATCATTTCCAATTACAAGAATATCATCAACATAGACCAAGACATATAAGAATGTAGAATCTTGCGAGTAATATAATAAAGACACATGTTTTTGAAGCTTTAAAACCAACAGACATTAGAAATGTATGCAGACGATTAAACCAAGCTCTAGGAGCCTGTTTTAATCCCTATAAAAAGCGTTTCAGCAGGCAGACATGATTAGGAAACTGAATGTCAATATAACCAGGAGGCTATTTCATGTAAACTGTTTCAGACAATTTTTTATTCAAAAAAGCATTCTGCACATTAAGCTGCCTAACAATCCAACCAGAAGATATAGCTAAAGATAGAAGTAACTTGACCGTTGTGGGTTTAACCAATGGACTAGATGTGTCAAAGAAATCCTGTCCAGGCACTTGATTGAATCCTTTAGCTACTAACCTTGCTTTGTGTTTTTCAATTGAACCATTTGCCTTTCTCTTCGTACGAAAAACCCATTTACAACCAACAACATTCATGTCTGAGTACAATAGAACTAGGCACCAAGTTTCATTTTGAAGAAGAGCATTGAATTGTTGATCTATTACCTTACACCATTCGAGATATTTAACTGCCTGTGCGTAGCAAGTTGGTTCAGTGGGACAAACCTGAGCAGTCAGAACAATGGGTGGAGCCTTAGACTGACTACGAGTAGCCATGACAGGGGTGTAGACAGTGGGCCGTGTGGACTGCCCTCTAGGCCCGCCCTCGGTGCCTTGTAAGAGCTGCTGGATCGAATGGTTCTGCCTGGACCGGTTCGATCTATTCTGCATGAACCGATTCTGGCAGATCTGTGTGAGCCAGTTGCTGTTCGAGCAACGCAAGCTGAACCGGGACGATGGGAACGGTTGGAACGAAAACCAACTCAGCCCACAATTGATCCTTTAGTATTAGTGATGCCTGCAAAGTATTTTTAGCACTGAATGGATAGACCCCCTCATCAAACCTTACATGCCTGCATATATAGATTTTGTTAGTCTCTAAGTCCATGCACCTATACCCCCTAAAAGACTCAGGATAACCTAGGAAGACAAAAGAAGATGAGTTGTAAGACATTTTGTGACGATTATATGGTCATAAGTATGGATAACACAAACAACCAAAGACATGAAGAAAGGAGTATAACGGAGGGGATTTATGCAATATAAGGTGAGGATTGAAGTTATTTAACACAGTATATATCATTCTGTTAATTATATTAGGACTCTAGGAATTATAGTTATTCTGTTCCTCTATTCTAGCTATTATCGTGCTTATATATTTATCATGTATAGTTGTATTATCAGTTTAGTGATGCAATACTGAATACGTTTCTTTCATCAATTAAATAAACTGCAGTCTCAAAGGCATAATCCCAAAACTTAGAAGGAACAAAAGCACGACTCAAGAGGGTTAAACCTGTTTAACAATATGTCTATGTTTTCTTTCAACATGACCATTTTGCTCATGAGTGTATACACAGGATTATCTATGAATAATTCCTAGCTGAACAAAGGTGGAATGCAACTTTTTATACTCAGCTCCTAGATCAGATTGTATGGATTTGATTTTACGATTATAGTACGAAACTTATCAAAGATGGCGTAAAGGTCATATTTTAATTTCAGTAGGAAAAACCAAGTGTACCGAGAATTGTCATCCACAAAAATAATAAAGTATCGATAACTATTAGTTGATAACAAAGGAGCTGGTCCCCAAATATCTGTATAAACTAAATCGAGAATGTTTGAACTAGAAGACTCAACACGTGGCAAGGAAAAACATGCAGATTTCCCTAATTGACACGCATTACATAGACCTAGATTACATCGAATAGTATTATTAGACCCACTAACCGAACAAGACTGAAGAATTCGATTGAGGACATGATGATGTGGATGACCCAAACGATCATGCCAGACTGATGCAGAGGCTCGAGTAGAGAGAAACGTGGAAGGAGACGAACTGGGGATGGGTAGCTTGTAAAGGCCCCGAGCTATTGCCCCGTAGAAGAATTTCCTTGGTGTATGTTGATATCCTTCACAACGAAAAAAGAAGGGAAAAATTAGAACACTTTATTATCTGATGCAAAGTTTTGAACCGATAATAAAGATGTAGACAAACTCGGAACATGAAGGATATTAGATAAATGAAGGGGAAATCGCACTTTTGGTCCCTCAGTTAGTAGCCAATATGCAATGTCATCCTTACTTTTCAATTTGGACAGAATTGGTCCCTCAATTATTCGACCTTTAGTCAATTTAATCCTTCTGTGAGACTATAAGTTTAACTGTGTTTAAATCAGGGGTATAATTGAAATTTCACGTAGCCTTGAATATAGTAAGCCAATTTCTTAGAAGGGATTCACGAAGATGGAGAACCATGGGGGAAGTTTGCCATTCACAAAGAAGGAGAAGCCGTACCAAGGAGTATATTGTAAAATAGAGCAAACGCTAAAGAAACAAAAATGGACTCGTCTTCTTCCTCATCCTTCTATGTTCAAAATTCAGACTTCTCATTTGTAACGCTGGAATGTTTCCAGTGGGATTACTAGAGTTTCGACGCGTCCTTGCCATTCAACGTGAACGACTCTGAGGAAATGCTCCTCTTCGAAGTTCTAACGGAGGCCGCTCATGAAAACTCGGAGACAAATAATGTGGTGTCAAAATTCCCAAGACTGTGATTGCTATAATTCCCACCTATGTTCAAACCTTCCAGACTTTGCACCTCACCGGAGTGATGCATTTCCTGATGAACATTTCGTACAATGTCATCTAGATTGTTGTGGAAGCCGACGGAATCACAAACGAGACCGCCTCGTTGCTAGCCAAGTCGGGGCTCCGAATTATCCATATTGGATTCTGAGAGAAAATGCTTATTCTATGGAAGCATCACTACAAATTGGAGTCCAGAATGCGAGTTCATGCCTTGAGGTATGCAAAATTGAAGCTTTATTGGCTCCACTTTCATGCTTGTATTTCAAATTTTGGAATTGGATTTGATAGAATATGTGTTGTTGTTTTGAATTTTAAATTTTGAGTAGACATGTAAGAAACGAAAAGCTAGATGGGATAGTGATGTTTGCGGATGATAGTAATATACACAGTCTGGAGTTATTTGATGAGATCCAAAAGGCGAAATGGGTTGCTGCCATGTCGGTTGACATTCTTGCTCATTCAGGGGGTGTCGAGGCAAAGCATAATATGCAACTTCCTATTCAAGGTCCGACCTGCAATTCGTCAAATAATCTAATAAGTTGGCATACGTTTGATCGATCCCCCTACGTGGAAAAGAGTGCAAGGTACGTTCGAGACAAGGCAATCGTGCTGCCCGGGAAGTTCGAATGGGTTGGCTTTGTGTTGAACTCTAGGTTAGTTTGGAAAGACGCTGAAGACAAGCCGGAATGGGTTAAGGATTTGGGTAGTATAGTGGAGTCTGGACAAGATATTGACAGCCTGCTATCTTTGCTGAAAGATTCTTCGGTCCTGGAACCTCTATGAAGGAAGAGTTTTACCATCTTCAAACCCAGTGGTGGAGGAAATAGCAACCGGGCAGAGAAGGGGGAAAAATTGGCTTATTATATTTAAGGCTATGTGAAATTCCAATTATACCCCTAATTTAAACGTAAACTGGCTTATTATATTTAAGGCTATGGGAAAAATTGGACTAAATTGACTAAGAGTCAAATAGTGAGGGACCTATTATGTCCAAATTAAAAAGTAAGGACGGCATTGCATATTGGCTACTAACTGAGGGGACCAAAAGTGCGATTTCCCCATAAATGAAACAACCTAGAAGGGGTATTAAAGGAAGCATGACCAACACGACTATAATAGATAAACTCATACCGTCACGGACATGTAACATGTCATTACCATTATATTCCTCAGATGTGGACAAGGCCGTTATATCTAGAGTTGCATGATTGGTTGCTCCCGTGTCTATGAACCATATTTGATTGGTATCTGATGGAGGATCTTGATAAACCATGTGAGCTTGGGGATCTTTTGCATACCTACTATGAAAAGTAACCGCAGTGTGACCAAGAATTCTACATAGTTGACACTTGGCCTATCAATTTCCGTTCCAACCAACACGTCCACGGCCACCGCCACCTCGATTCCTGCCGCTGCCTCCACTACACGACTGCCAAGAACTGTTTCCGTTCTGACCGGAGTTGCGATTGCAGCCGCCTCGTGACTTACCACTGCGCCCTCGTTGCTGCCTGCCGCCACGTTGAGTTGAAAACGCCGCTGGCGATGAGCCACAATTGTCGCCACTGGAAACAAACTCTTCTACTCCCAAGAAGTCGGCGAGTTCGTAGAGGGTGGCAGGCTGACCACGAACATTGAGAAAAGACATCAAGCTATGAAATTCCGGCCGCAACCCTTTGAAGACGTAGAGGTTTTGTTCTTCAAGGCTGGTTGGCCTGCCGGCGAGAGCAAAGTCCTCGACCAACACCCGTGCTTTTCCGATGTAGTCAGCCACGGACATATCTCCTTCGCCTTGACGAAGGGACTGTAACTGCCCGAGGAGGTTCAACGACCTAACCCGGAAGGAGGATGGAAGGGAACGAACAATGACCGCCCATGCCGCCTTGCTAGTCCAATGGCCGATCGCTAGGGACATGACCTCCTCCGAAAGAGAAAACCTGATCATGGAGAGGAGGGCTTGATCCTGATGAACCCAAGCGGCGTGAGAATGATTTGGTTGGATTGCGTCACTACCGGCACTGCTGGCGCCGGTGGTAATGAACTCCGGTGGACACGGGTGTGTTCCGTCTACAAACCCCATGGGATTGTGGCCACGAAGAAAAGGAACGACCCGGGCTTGCCAAAAAAGGAAGTTCTTGTATGTCAGTTTAATACTGATAAAGTGGTGGGCGGTCGATAAAGATCTCACAGTCGAAGAGACCGAAGACACAACAAGATTAGAGACGGTCCGTTCCGAGGAGTTAACAGATCCGTCAGCCATGGGAAAGAAACCCTAGCTTAGCTGATACTAGATGAGAACTGATAAAATTGTATAATATTGAATAATGTAAATACAAATGTATAGGTTACATGTATATATATACTGAGAGAATCTGAGGGAGAATATGATAGGGAATCATAATCTGACTCAAATATATTGAGTCCTAATAGCTACAATTGATTTCTTTTAAAAGTATTCATTGTTTTTTTTTTTTTTTTAAATGTCATACTATTTTGAAATGGAGTTAGTAATTATCAATTTGTACACATACAGACACAATTAATAAAAAATATATATTTATAGAATAATAATTATTATATACGGAGTAATATTAGTTTATAAAATAATAGAATATAATTGTATAGGAAGTAATTAATTACACATGAACATATTGATGATGAAGAGGCTTCAATGACAGAGAATACTGTTATACATGCAGCATTGTCTGAAGATCAACCTGCTTTCACTCAGCATAGGGAAGAAATACAGTGACCACAATTATCATAATGATAATGCAAAAGATTATGAAACTACCGCATCACAACAAGAACTAGGCAAATATATATTTCTAAATAACAAATACTATACCCCTTCATACTATCCTAATGTTCTATACTACGTTATAGATACTTCATACTCTTTAGCATTTTATAAGAATATATATTTATCCAATAAGGAAAAGATTTTAAAAAGTGCATACTATATATAGAAAAATAAATAAATACTAAATGCTATTACACTATTATATTATATTATATATACATACACTCACATAGGCATTGATTGTTGAATGAGCTTCAATAGAGCAATGGTTCAACTACTGGGTTTATACACACCGTTATATATTTTTTATATTTTTTAATAAGATATATTGTTGAAGTAATAGTGTAATACTTCCTTCACCGAATTTATTTATTGGTCAAAATAAATCATTCTTTTTCACCTATTTTCTTCAACATTTTTTATAATATTAAATTAAATTTTTTTAGTCTAATTAGATTTTAATGCAAATTTGAAGTATGTAATTTTACTCACCGAAACTAAATTAAATTATAAATAGTTTGAGTAAAGTCTAATTATCGGTCTCATGCATACATTTTGAATAGGTGGCTGTAAATATCAATCCATAAAATAAAATAAGTTGAATATAATGCATGCACAATTAATGCTAGAACATAGTGCTGCAAAGGCTAACACAGTGCTATATATGTTTCGATGGCAAAAATGTTGTTATTTATATATGTGCGTAACAAATGCATCCTTAATTCGATCAACATAAACCATATCATTCATAATTCTTAATTAGAGTAAATAATATATTTTTTAAATAATATTAAACATAACGGGTTCATGCAAATATATTGACATGATAATTTAAACAAGTCAAATGGATCAAGTTAAATAAGTCAACATGCTAACAACATCAGCCATTTTAAAGATTAACTCTTTATTTTCGTGTGCAATTTCAAGTCTTGTTAATCTGCTTTGTTGACAATTGTTAGGTCCAAATGTAACCGAACTATGGGAGTTTACTGAAATTGTAGATCGAGTTCAATGTCGAATGGTTTCAATGCCAGAGTGCTCTGATGCTAAGGTTTTTGAACTATTTTCTCTTTATCATTTTTCTTGTAGTTCATATTTCTTATCGACAGAAAATGAGTGCTTTAAATAATAAATAAGGTGTAGATGTTAAGCGTATTTAATTCTCCATGAATTTCAATATTTACTTGGATGTTAATGGATTTTGTTAAGGTTTTCCGACTTCTTTATACAAATTCTGGTGTTGGCATCTTGGCTCTTAGCTCAAATGGTATTCAAAAACTATGGAAATGGCCCAACAATGAACAAAATCCAACCGGAAAGGTAGTGAATAGATTACGAGGTTTTTTTTTTTTTTTTTTTTTGGCAAATGAGTTTCTAAAGTCTATGGTGTCTAAAGGCCACTGCCAATTCTGTTCCACAACATTGGCAACCAACTAGTGGTCCTTTTATGATTAATGATGTGATAGGTGTCAACCTCGAGAAAGTAGTTCCTTGCATTGACCTCTCCAAAAATGACTCTTATATTGTATCAGCTGCTGGTGGAAAGATTTCATTGTTTAACATCATGACATATAGGGTAAGGTAAGGCTATTGAACATGATTAAATAAGTACTGATAAATAATAATATTAATGCATGTTTGTTATAATCTATATGTGATGTAGGTATTGACAAAATTCAGGCCATCACCTACACCAACTTTCTTAGTTTTCTATCCTTGGGACAATAACATTATTGCAATTGGTACGGAGGATGGGACCATATGTATATACAATGTTAAGGTAGATCAGGTAACTCTGATCATTTCTGCTCATCATGTTTTATTATTGTATTATTATGTGTACTGTATATATGCTAATTTTAGATTATGTATGTTTGGATTTAATCGATTTTTAAATATAGGTCATGGTTGAATTTATTAAAGGCCATCATAAACATATCACTGGTCTAGCATTCTCTACTACTAATCGTGACATGCTGGTTTCATCGTCTGCTGATGCCCAAGTAATGCATTATTCAATCCCTTAAATTAATAGTGGGACTAACATCTCATGACATACTATTGACTAATCAATCATAAAGCAAAATTATTTTTTCTTTCAGCTTTGTGTATGGGAAATTTTTGGTAGATGGCGAAAGAGAATATCAGTTCGCATCCAGTTACCTGCTGGTAAAGTGCATTCAGGTGACACACATGTGATGTTTCATACTGACCAACTCCACTTATTAGTTACACATGAAACTCAATTGGCAATATATGATACTTACAATATGGAACGCAAACGTCAGGTAAAACTAACATGTTTTCTAAAATTATGAAATATGCTCATGAACAACATAGACCGGGTACAATTATTTGGAATATATATGTTTGTTATTGCAGTGGTTCCCACAAGGTTGTCTTTCTGCACGAATCTCTTCTGCTACTTACTCCTGTAATAGCCAACTAGTTTATGCATCCTTTGTTGATGGGAATATTGGAGTACTTGATGCCGATAACCTTACATTGAGATGCCGTATTGCTCCATCTGCTTATTTATCTCAGCCAATATTGAATAGGTATGAACACCTTCTTACACCTAGAAATTTTGTTAATTTTACCAATTGTATGAGCTAATACTAAAATTGTAAAAATTAAAAGAGATTGATTAAATTTATATCTCGAAAGCAATTGAGGGATCAAAACTCAATCACAATGAATTAACAAATAACTTTAGAGGGAAAATTGTAATTTATGCCCCTCCCTAATATGTCAATTATTAATGTCACTACTGAATTATTAGTTGTGTAAATCTTACCCCTTAATTTTCAAAGCGGTATATAAATAAATAAATAAATAAATAAATAAATAAATAAATAAATATATATATATATATATATATATATATATATATATATATATATATATATATATATATATATATATATATATATATATATATATATATATATATATTACCCATATATGTACCGTTTTGAAAATTGAGAGGCAACATTTACACTACGCAAGGGCACTATATGTATCATTTTGAAAATTTAGGGGGCAACATTTGCACTACTAATAATTCAAGGATGACATTGATAATTGACATATTATAGAGGGGCATAAATTACAATTTTTTCCCATGATGATGTTGATCTGGCCTAGAATATAATAATTTATTCCTGTGTTTCGATGAACGATATTATTTTTCTTGATGAAATGTTAACTTGTCTGTGTTATATTACCGCAAAAGCAAGCGTGTAGTGTATGCAGTTGTGATTGCAGCGCATCCACAGGAACCCAACCAACTTGCAATTGGATTGACAAATGGGTCTATTAAAGTCATTGAACCACTGGAATCTGAAGGAGAGTGGGGAATATCTCCCCTTATTGATATTGAAATTCTAAATGGTAGGTACTCTTATAAGTTTTAATATTTTATATGAACACTCATCTAATAACAAAAAGACAAAAATATTCTTGTAAATATCAATAAGTAATACTCCGTAACTTTTACAAAATATTTTAACGCATAACATACTAGCTGTGTATTATATATATATATATATATATATATATATATATATATATATATATATATATATAGGGTAGGGTTCTAGTGAGAACATGTGCTTAAGTGAGAACATGAAAACACGTCATGTGCATCCAACTAATATTTTTTTAATGGTATAGATTAGATTAAGTGTGTGCGGACGCGCATTAAATGTGTGCAAACACACTTAATCTAATCTAGACCATTAAAAATATTAGATGGATGCACACGATTTGTTATCACGTTCTCACATAAACAGGTGTTCTCATATGATATTAAATATATATATATATATATATATATATATATATATATATATATATATATATATATATATATATATATATATATATATATAAGGGCTCAGGTGCGGTAAAAGCTTCCCGTGCAGTTGTGCGGTTGGACGCATCTTCAATATTAACATGACGTATCTTAGGTATACAAATCACCACGCACGTTAAGCATACAAACAAAGCACCTTAAGAACACAAATCACTCACATTAAGTACACAAACCACGCACCTTAAGCACAGAACAAAGCACACTAAACACAAAACCGACGCACTTCAATTTTAAAATGGCTCATATTAAGCACAAACTCACGCACATTAAGCATAAAATTCACGCAGATTAAGCACAAACTTCACGCACATTAAGCATTTAACTGATGCACTTTAAGTATTAACTCACACACTTTAAGTTTCAACAACTACTGACATTAATCACTAACCCCACGCACATTAAGCACACACCCCACGCACATTAAGCAAAAATTCCACGCACCTTAAGCACAAATCCCAAGCACATTACGTCCAAACCCAAACACATCAAATTTACCGAGATACAAAAATTACCAAAATGTCACCGCGTTTTTTAATTTAATTTTGGTAATCTTGGACATTGATTTAAACGAGATGAATGGCTCGGATTAAATCGCACAACCGCACCTGAGGTACCCACCCGCACCAGAACCCAGTTATATATATATATATATATATATATATATATATATATATATATATATATATATATATATATATATATATATATATATATATATATATATATATATATATATATATATATATATACCATATCATTCATAAATCTTAACTAGAGTAAATAATATATTTTTTAAATAATATTAAATATAATGGGTTCATGCAAATATATTGAGTCATTTTAAAGATTAACTCCTTATTTTTGTGTGCAATTTCATGTCTTGTTGATCAATTTTGGTGACAATTGCTAAGTCCAGATAGAACCAAACTGTGGGAATTGACAAAAATTATAGATCAAGTTCAATGTCAAGTGGTTTCCATGCCAGAGTGCTCTGACGCTAAGGTTTTTGACCCTTTTTCTCTTTATCATTTTTCTTGTTGTTCATCTCTCTTACTGATAGACAATGGTGGTTATGGTGCTTTAACTAATAAATAAGGTGTATGTATAAGGTAATTAATTCTCGCTGAATTTCAACACTTGATGTTAAAATGAATTTTGTTAAGGTTTCCGGACTTCTTTATACAAATTCTGGTGTTGGCATCTTGAGACTCCGCTCAGATAGTATTCAAAAATTATGGAAATGGTCCTACAATGAACAAAATCCAAGCAAAAAGGTAGTGAATAGACTAAGAGTATTTTTTTTTTTTAATTTTTTGCTATACTATTTATGTTAATGTCTTGCATTAATGTTTGGCAAATGAGTCTCTAAAGTCTGTGGTTTCTAAAGGCCATTGTCAATTCTGTTCCACAGAATTGGAAACCAAACAGTGGTCCTTCTATGATTAATGATGTGCCAAGTGTCAATCTAGAGGAAGTAGCTCCTTGCATAGCCCTTTCGAATGATGACTCTTATATTGTGTCAGCTGTTGGTAAAAAGGTTGCATTGTTTAACATCATGACAAGTGAGGTATGGCTAGCGAAACAAGTTTAACTCATAATTATCACATTTGTCTTTATAAATGACCATATGCGTGATTTCTATAATGTATATGCATGTGATGTAGGTATTGAAAATAATCACGACGTTGCCATCTGCATCAACTTTCTTAGCTTTTGATCCTCATGACAACAATATTATTGCAATTGGTACGGAAAAATCATCCATATATATATATGGTTGGGTAAATGAGGTAAGTCCTCTATGACATATCATACCTTATTGCATTATATATATGATAATTTAACATGTATTGATTTAATTAATTTTATCTATAGGAATTGATTGAACTTAACGAACATCTAAAACCCATTACTGGTCTAGCATTCTCTACCAAACTTAAAATGTTGGTTTCAGGAGATGCTGATGCCCAGGTAAGCATATATAGATCAATTAGAAAAGGAATGATAAACAAGTATGGCATGATCCCTTTAATTAACAGTACAGTATAGTGAAACATACCATGACTAATCATGTAGGGACATAGCAACAAATTATTTTATTGTAAATTTATATATTTTGTATAAACTTCAAAAAGGTTCCAAATTGACCAAAGATTTGTGCTTTCTATGTTATCCACTTTGTGCGTTCCAAAATGTATTTTTTTTATCAAATTAAAATATTAACTAGAAGTCAAGCACTGCTCTGGAAATTCTGAAATTTCCGACCACCTGAAAGTAATCTTAAATAAAGTCAAAAGTCTTGTTTTGATCACTTTTGGTGTTTGGAAAAATTTTTGTTGCTATTTCCGACTACTTTTTGCTTTCGACTTGATTTAAGATCACTTTCAGGTGGTCGAAAATTCCCTAATTTCCAGCAGTGAAGGTTATTAGTAGATTACATGCAAGTTCTTTTTTTTTTTTCAGCTTTGTGTGTGGAACACTAATTTGTGGAAAAAGAGAAGATCAGTTCGCATCCAATTGCCTAGTGGTAAAGTGCCCTCTGAAGGTGACACACATGTGATGTTTCATGCTGACCAACTCCACTTACTAGTTACACATGAAACGCAATTGGCAATATATGATGCATCCAAGATGGAACTCATACACCAGGTAAAACAAACATGTTTTCTCAAATCTTGAAATATGTTCATGAAGACTATAGGGTTTAAATTTGGATTATGCTTGTTACAGTGCATCCCACATGTTTCCCCTTCTATGCGGATCTCTTCTGCTACATACTCCTGCAACAGCCAACTAATTTATGCATCATTTATTGATGGGAACATTGGAGTTCTTGATGCTGATACCCTAAGACTGAAATGTCGTATTGTTCCATCTGCTTATTTATCTCAGAACGGGTAAGAACACTATCAGGTCTGGAATTCCAGGCTGCAAATACTTTGTGTCACAACTTTTGTTCAAGAATACTATTCTTTTCCTTAATGAAATGTTAATTTGTGGATTAACTTGTGTATGTTATATTATTATTGTAGAAGCGAGGATGTGTATCCACTTGTGATTGCAGCACATCCACATGAACCCAACCAATTTGCAGTTGGATTGACAGATGGGTCTATTAAAGTCATAGAACCATTAAAATCCCAGGGGAATTGGGAAGTATCTGTATCTTCCCCAGTTGATAATGGGAAGAAAAATGGTAGATTGGTATGGCAGGTTCTTCGTGGCACATTGGCAACCATATGTCTTGGATTATTTGGGGTGGGCATCATTCGAATTATTCAAATTAAAACTAGAAAATCAAAAATGAATTTTGATGGATATATGACAGATGGGTCCAGAACAAACAGACCGGATGAAACAGAAAAAGGTGAACGTGAACCCAACAACCCTAAGGCCGAGTTCAGCGCTCGACCAATCAAGGTCCGACTATGAGTTCCAATTAAATCCATTAAATTTGAAATAAAAATATGTTGAACTCATTGGTAGCTCGAGGTTCCATTGGCACACATAAAAAACTGTTTCTGAGTGTATTTTGAAATGTGTGTATTTGATTATTAATATGCACGTATACAGTGTTTTTGCTCGTTGGTTTTTGGAAGGTATGTTTTTGAACTAACATTAATGTTGGAATTTGTATTTGTTTCACTCCCCAAACTTATATGGCCTTCCCAGTTTCATTATTATTAATGTTAGTTCAATAGTCTAATTACACTTTGTTGTGTAATTAAATGACCTATTTGACCCTTATTCATTTTTCAATAATGAAACCTTCACTTTGGACTCAATTTTCATAGAGTAATTATGTGAGAGCTAATTCTCTCTCCACATAATTATCTACTTTTTTTGAAGAAACCATCAATTATTCCATCCACTTTATGCTGGGGTGGGACTGAGTTCTCATCTCGAAGCTGCTACGAAATTTCAAGGTTGGACTCGGATGATTTAAGGGGTGTTTGGTTGGGAGGAAGAAATTAGAAAAAAAAATAATTGTAATTCGATGTGAAAAGAATAATGTAGGAATTCAAATTACATTGTTTGATAGGGATAAATAGAAGAGTAAATACCCAAAATGGTCCCTCAACTATAGCTAAATTCACAAATTGGTCATCGACTTTCAATTTAAACTAATTAAGCCCTTAACTTTGCAATTTTAACACGGTTTAGTCCTTCGACCACTTCTGCATTAACGCCCGCGCCCGCGCCGTCATCAACGATCTCCAGAAGAACCTGCAGCTCTCATCGGAGCACATGGAGGCCTCCAGGATGACGTTGCACCGGTTCGGAAACACGTTGTCTTCTTCACTCTGGTACGAACTCAACTACATTGAATCCAAAGGGAGGATGAAGAAAGGCGACATGATTTGGCAGATTGCTTTTGGCGGTGGATCCAAATGTAACAGTGCGGTCTGAAAATACAACCGGAACCTTAAAAAATCGACGATGGACCATGAAATTACATATATATCCTCAAAAATCACAGTCAACAAACGGTCAAATAGACGGAGGACCAAATCATGTTAAAATTGCAAAGTTAAGGACTTAATTGGTTAAAATTAAAAGTCAAGGACCAATTTTTGAATTTAGCTATAGTCGAGAGACCATTTTATGTATTTACTCTAAATAGAATTATTAGAAATGAGAAGGAAAAAGAGGTATAAAGACTAAAATGTCATTGTGTAATAATAATAATAATAATAATAATAACAACCAACAAATGTATTTTTGCCATTTCTTCCATTTCTTCCTTTCCCAAACATTGAATTGCAATTCCCTCCAACCAAACACTGTAATTGAAGTTTCATTAAATTACAATTCAATTACAACTAAATACCATCCAACCAAATGCCTTGTTATTGTAATTTTAGTTGACTCCGTTATTTAATTAGTTTGTTTATTATATATTTAATTACTTTGTTTATAGAATAAACATGTACTCATACGGGATGTGATCGATTCTTATTATTTTTAGATTAATTGGTTAACTTTCTATTTACCTTAATGTTTTTTTTTTTTTTTTTTTTTTTTTTTTTGGAATAAGGGTCAAATAGGCCATCGAACTGCACATGATAATGCAATTAGGCCACTGAACCTAAAAAACCAACAATTGGGTCCCTAAACTAACCAATTTCAAACAATTCTTCCAATTTCAAGATTTCCAACAGGTCATCCTCTCAAATTAATTGTTTGTTTAAAAAATAAATTTTAAAAAATAATTAATTTTAAATTTTGTTTTTAAAAAAAAACAGGTTGTCTCCGGCCAGTATTGTTTTTTTTTTGTTTATTTTTTTATTTTTTTAAATTTAAATAATTAATTTTAAAAATTTATTTTTAAAAAATAATTAATTTGGAAGGATGACCTGTTGGAAACCTTCAAATTAAAAGAATTGTTTGAAATTGGTTAGTTTAGGGACCCAATTGCGAGGAAGAACGTGATGAACGAACATCCGCATTGATGGCCGAACAACCCTCAACATCAAGGTCAGTAGGAAATAATGATTTTTTATCTGACGAACAATTTTATCTATTTGTTAGGAAATTCAAGAAGTTCATGGGAAAGAACAAAGGATCACCACAAGGAAATTTCTTTCGAGAAAATAGAAGATCAAGAAGGGAACCGGTCGAAGATAACACAAACGTGTGTTACAATTGTAGAAAGCCTGGATATTTTATGGCCGAATGTCCACACCCCAAGGCGGACAAAAATTCGAATACTTCTCCACAAGTGGAATACAAATCCAAAGAGAAGAAATTCAAAAAGGGCAAACGGAAGGCACTAATAAGCGATCCGTTAGAAGCAAGTGAATCCGAAGAATCATCTAGTGACGAGAGTGATTCATCACAAGAAGATACGGCGTTACTATGCCTAGTGGGCAAGACATCCGAACATGAGGAATGCTATATGGCGCGTGAAATCGACGAAGAGGTATCTTCTAGCTCTTTTAGTTCTTTTAGTTCAGTTGACACTTCTTTCCAGACTCAAGAATCATTTCAAAGTCTTATGGAAGATTGTCAAAAAGTCATGGCCACTCATACTCAAATCAAAGAGCGCAATAATACGTTAATTCTTGAAAAGGAAGAAATGTCACAAAAATTGCAAAATGCTCTAAATGAAATGAGTAATTTGAAAGCCGAAAATGCTCGACTTCAAGAAGAGTGCAAAGCTAGAGAGGTTCGAGAACATAACCTTCGGGAAGTAATTGCATCATTTACAAATTCATCCAAAATAATGGATAAAATGGTAAACATGCAGAAACCCGCTGGAGATAAAGCCGGACTAGGCTACGATCTATCATGTTCTCAAACCCCTGTGAAACTGACTAATTCTACTACTACTTTAATTAATAAAGTCCCAGTGGTAAAATTTGTGAAAAGTCAGCATAGCACAATGAGACAAGGAGTTGGTAATCAAATAAATGCCAAGAAAAATGTTGCAAAGCCGAATAAAAAATTTAATGTCTCGGATAGGCAACAAATTTTTAAAAGGCAAAAATTTGTATCTCCCAAGAGAACCAACGAGTCTAGTGCAACAAAACCTCATAGGAATATGGGTAGAATTCCGAGAATTGGGGTTGGGAGATTATATCCCTCAGAACAAGATTGGTCGCTTGATAACAAACCATGGACCAAGTCCAGATTTGCATGTTTAGAATATCTCTTTGAGCCCCGCACTTATAAGCATAACACTTTACCGCTACCTATTCCGCTGCACACTCTAAGTTGTTTATCTTGTTGATGCTTGTTACTTAGAGTTGAAATTAACAAAGTGTTATTTGCCCTGTGTGTTTTTGAAGAAAGTTTGAAAAGTTAAGAGAAGTCTATTCACCCCCCCCCCCCCCCTCTAGACTTCTCGTCACCCTTTCGGGACCAACAGAGGCAGGATTACTTGAAATGTATAATAATATTTAATAAAATATAATATTTTTTGATAAATTTATAAAAAATATTATATTATATTTTAAAAGTATTATACATTTCAACGCAACGCAACGCAACGCAACGACGATTCAACGATACACCTGACTCTAGTTTTCATTCCAATAATCGTCGCGGTAGAGGTGGAGCGAATATGTCTAATGGCAGGCACAATCAAACACGGTACACCGGCAACCGTCCGTCTCGGCATTGCAACTGCTGTGACTACCCCGGCCATGACACCAAATACTGCCGCAAACTGGCTAAGTTCTTGAAAGAAAATAATGTGATAGTTGTTGACCCTCAGAACAATGGCTATCAGTCCCCTACGGTGCACACTACTGCTACTAGTCCTGCGACATCCAAATCATGGCTGATGGACTCTGGTGCCTCGCACCATACTGTTACAGATCCTATGCCTTTACAATCATTTTCTGACTACACAGGTCCGGACGAAATTGTTCTGGGCGATGGTAAGTCCTTGAGTATCTCACATACAGGTTCTGTCTCTCTTCCCTCTGCAAGTCGTCCCCTTCTTCTCTCAAATGTCTTATGTGTTCCTAGTTTACAAAAGAACTTGGTGTCTATTTCCAAACTATGACTCGGTGTCGGTTGAATTTTTTTACTCTTATTTTTTGGTTAAGGATCGGGCTTCGGGCAACCCTCTAGTGCGAGGTCCTGTCGTGAATGATGTCTATAGTATCCCTACTCAGAAGTGTCAAGCCAATGTCACATCCTCAGTTCCTAAGTGGCATCATCAATATGGTCATCCCAACCACAGGGTCTATCGTCAATTCTCAGAAGTAATAACGTTCCTTTTGATCAGCGTGTGCTAGAAACATTTTCGTGTACTTCCTGTCATATAAATAAAAGTCACAAATTGTCATTTTCATTTAACTCCATGTATAGTACCAAACCATTGGAACTTATATGCACTGATGTTTGGTGTTCGTCAACAGTTTCTGTAGATGGTTTCAAGTATTACATTAATTTTATAGATCACTACACAAAGTATGTCTAGTTATTTCCCTTGAAACTTAAGTCTGACATTCATAGAATATTTGTTCAATTTAAAGTTCTGGTCGAAAACTATTTTGGGTACAGAATAATCTATGTTTTTTCAGATAATGGCGGGGAATATACTAAGTTAATTCCAACATTCAATAGTTTGGGCATCTCACACTTTACCTCGCCTCCCCACACCCCAGAACACAATGGTTCTGCGGAGAGGCACCACAGACATATTGAAGAAAGTGGTATGGCACTCTTACACTTTGCGGCCATGCCATCCTCGTATTGGTCATATGCCTTTCAAACAGCGGTATATTTAATCAACCGTATGCCAACTCCTATCCTACAAAACTCCTCACCATATAAAAAACTGTTCTAGAAAGAGCCGAATTATAACAAAATCCAACCCTTCGGATGTCTATGCTTTCCATGGCTAAAGCCATATTTTCCGGGTAAACTAAACCCCAAGTCTATCTCATGTGTCTTCCTGGGTTACTCTCTAAGTCAGTCGGCCTACAAATGCCTTGACCCGGCAACTGGTCGTATATATGTTTCGCGCCATGTTTCGTTTGTACACGATAAGTTTCCGTTCCATAAGCTAAGTCAGGTGTCGCAGGAAGTTTCCACACACAATACACATCTGCCAGCACTGCCGGTTTTG